GTGCCTTCAAGACGTATTCTACGATTATGTCCATGGAGCACGAGAACAAAACAGATCTGCGCAATGAGCAAACTAGGAACAAAAGAAAGAAGCTGCCGGAAACGTCGAAAATAAGAGACTCAACTATTAACGATGTACGGTTGCTATGGCGATAGGAAATTGGCGGCAGAGGCAAGAGCACATGCAAGAAAGCATAGAGGACGAGTGAAACGCAGACACCCCACCACTATTGTTGCATCGGAAGAATACTTTCAATCCATTCCAGCAGAAAAAACACTTTTGATGAGCAAGCATTTGCTCCAGCGTAATGAAGAACTCTTTCTTACCCAAGGGATTGATCTACACGAACTCATCGCGGAAGGTGCCTTTAAAGTTGATTTTTCAAAACGCTAACATTTGTGAAGCGATACGCATCCTCAGCGGTACACTCCGCTTTGTCGGTAGGATTCGATAGAGCGAAGATTATCGGACGACTGTTGATTTTAGCCATTTCACGAATAATTTCCTCAGTGAAGGCGCCACCAACGGTCGAAGCACCTGAACATGTCGAAATGATGATGACATTGCATCGATTAGGAGATCGAGGTGTACTCGCTTTCTCGGAAAAGCTCGATATGAATTCTTTTATGGTTAGCCTAATAGCAGAGATGTAAAAACGAAAAATTTATGACTGGTCCTCTGATCAGTAGTGAATTTTGCAACTGTATCAAACGAAAAATTCATGAGAATAACAATGGATAAGGAATTCCAAGAAATGGTGAAATGGTGTTCCAAATGGTATTCTGCTCGAAAATGGAAGTATAGTATGAAGGAGGCCGCCAGGAAAAAAGTGAATAGGTAGTTGAAAACAAGCGGCTTCCCACCCATTTGAATTGCGGGGATATTCCGTATTTTTCGCTGAAGGAGTTTCTCGATCCATTGCGTTAAGTTCGTCGAAGAGAAGAATAAAAACATTACCACAGCGGGAAGCTACCTACTCATTTAGCACTCCCAGCGCCAAATTGGCATGGGCCTTTTTAGTCGGTATCTTTTTGGAGTGAAGCAGACTTTGCCACTCGTGCATTGTCCTAAGCATTTCGGTAGGTTCCCAAAGTTATACATAGATAGGAAAATGGGTTTGTACCTGGCGAAGGCAAAGGG